TTCTCCTCTAGAAGGCTAAAATATTCAGCGTCTCAAATTCTATTCGCATAAAAAAAATCACAATAAAATATGGTCAAGACAACCCGAGTTTGCAATTTTGCGAAATACTGTATCATCTGAAAGAAGGAAGTTGCCACGTACCACCGCCACCACCTGGAACAGCAGGAGGCGATTTCGCAGACGAAGATCCGTTGGAAACTGGAGAAGGCGACGCCTCGGCTGCCACAGCAGCTGGCGGAGTGCTGACAACCGGCGACGGCGGTTTCACGTCATCGACAGACATCCGCTCCATGGGCAAGTACTCCACGTCACCTCCGTCTCTGTTAACCGGCGACGCTCGAACCTGTCACGTCGAGGAGAAAAAAAGAGAAAGGTTTTCACTTTCATTCCGCGAGTGAGAAGTGGTGCAATGAAAACATGCCACGGGATTTCAGAAGAAATGGAACTGGGTCGTGTAGATATAAGAGTGAATTCGTCATATCGCTGAATATACCGTAGGTGAAGTCAAACCTCTTTCCGTCAAACTTCAAGGGACCGGCAAAAAAAATTTGAGCTCAAACAAGAATTTCCTTCAAGAAACAGAAGAATTGAAGGAAACTGTACTCGGTGATATTCTGGGCATTAAAATGCTTCTTGAATGAGTTGAAAAGATACTGAACCCAGAGGCTAAGGGCTCATGTGTCCGATTACTCTCCCGATTCCTTTCAACACGCAAGTTTCAATTTTTATTGCTGTTCTATTTCCTGTGTCAATAAAATAATGGCCCAAAGTTCTCGAGGAAATTTGAGTTATTGCGGTTCAAGGAGGAAAGCTTTTGAACTGGGAAGGTTTTTAAAGAATTTTTTCCAAGGAGATTCAGACAGGCACTCGAAACAACTTGACATACGAGGGTTCTAACAAAAGTTCTCGGAGTAGCAATTAAAATTGCCTACAGTTGACTTGAAACCAATTTTTTCTTTCGGGAAAACATATTCTCATCAATAGCCGCCACATTGACGGCTATCAAGGCCGCTCTTGATGAAAATGGCGGAATTGCCTCGGATGACCCGGAGGCAACCCTTAGAAAGAATGTCAAGTTGCTTTCAAAAATTCTGAGGGGAAAGCTGGGCTTCAACAAAAAAAGGCGCCTCATCTTTTGAGTGGAGAGCAAAACTCTGCCAGGGTGATTTATGGAAAAAATTCAAAAAAATTTGTCAAACAGGGGTGATATTTTTTGTGTGCCAAAGAATATGTTTTCCCTAAAGAATAAATTGGTTTCAGGTCAACTGTAGGCCATTTTCATTGCTAGTCCGAGAACTTTTGTTAAAACCCTCGTACGGAGGTATTCGACTTATTGACTATTGTATATAAAACACATATTCTTTTTTTTTTCTTACATCCGATAGTTTGTTAAAACGACTAGTATTTATAGCCCAATAATTTTCCAAGCTAATAAATACTTCTCGCCTAAATTTCAGAAAACAATGCAGCCTTTTTAATCAACCTGAGTTGGATCACTTCACATCCGAAGATTACTTGGTCAGGTTACCGACTCTGACTCCGGCGGCACTCGAAAACAAGGATTCGGTGCTAGAAACATCAATTAATTGCAAGGGTTCAGTGGGACGGTTCATCAGTCTCAGGTCACTTCGACTGATGGGAAAATTCCTTTATCGTCAAGCATACATTGCCAACGAAAAAAAATGTCGCGCTGCCGCTCTTCAAATAGACGGAGGAGTTTGCTTTGATTTTCATGCGCAGTACCCATTTCTTGTGTACACGTTCTGAAATTTCTCATCGATACAGTTTTCCATTCGGCCACTTTCATCACCAGCTCATACAAGACACTAGATGCATATTTACAGTACTTTACATTGAGGGTTTGCATCGGAATAAGACACGAATTCATCAAAAATGTCTGTAATTCAAGCTCGAGCCCTTAGAATATGTAACCAACTGCCGATTCCGCCACTTTGCATGATACGGCGTTAATTATTCCAAACACCAGCCATATTTTCGAACTGTTCGCTGCTCAAGACGATGATGTCAACCTAAGTCTGTTGAGATCTTTCCTCACAATCTTCAGTGATGTTTCCCTGGCGACTGTTTTTGATACAGTCTCTGGACGACATATTGCATTTTCGGATTACGCTCAACTCTAAATTTCAGAAGTGTTTTACTCAAAAATAAAGACCTTCCTCCATTCAATAATACGATAAAAAAAAAAGTCCCTTCATTGAAACAACGCGATGAGGTCCTACTCACCCTGTCGCGTTCCTGAATCTTCATGTAAACATAGGGAGCATTCGCAGGAGTCGGCACAAAGCGACCAGAACCAGCAGGAACGTCCAAAA